GATCGGAAGAGTTACCATTTTTTAGGATTTTGGGTGTTCATTTTTGTTTTGTTTTATTGAAAATGATATTTATGTACCGTTTTGTATTGTAACGTGTGTGTGTGTTTTAATGTTAAAACACATGAAAAAACACCTATAAGGATTTCCGTCTTCGTTTGGTTTCTGGGATTAGTTTTGGTTTAATGAACTTTAAGAACTGATTTTTGGGGGTTTTGTTTCTGTGTAATAGAAAAGTAAATGAGTCAGTAAGAGTATTTGCTTTGGTCTAAAGTTTCCATTGCATAAGAATAATGGGGAAAATAGTTGATGATCTGTATTTCCGAAATAAGCTTTTTTCCCTCTCAACTTATTTCTTTGTTTGATAAATTAGTTATGTTTTTAGTTTTTGCATTATGTTTTAATCGCTCATGTTTGATACATATTAATCTGATCTCTGTTTGTGGGCCGAGAAACCGACGCACGGAAACGTGTATAAAGTTGGATTCTTTTTTCCATTTTCTATTATTTAGAATGTCTTAGATTGTAAATTTTGATTTCCTTATTGAAACAGTCTGCCATGAGATTTTGTTACATATCCAAATAATGTGTCCTATTCTCTTGAAAACTATGTTCTTGAGCTTTATTTTAGAATCTCTTCTGAATCCATGTTTGCGGAAATGAGAACAATTATGAACTCGATTTTGTGGATGGAGAACAATAGTTTTTGAGACTTTGATTAGACGTTTCTTTTCTTTTTCTTTACTATTTTTAATATGGGAAGGTCTATGGTGCTATTTCTTTAATAATTGATTAATCGATCATTGCTATGCCTTTTTTTAGGCTTGGCAAACAAGAAAACTGTCACCATTCAACCTGTTGGAAAAGATCAAGCTGTTTTGCTTGCAACCACCAAGACCAAGAAACAAAGCAAACCTGCTGATTTGCTTCACAAGTCTGTCATGAAAAAAGAGTTCCGTAGGATGGCTCATGCGGTTGCAAACCAGGTACTGATTATTTGTTTTAAATTAAGCTGGTACTTCTACATGTATGTATAGTTTTTTCCTCGTATAAATGAGATGGCAGTTTACAGTCAATAAGTTCAGGTTCTCCAATTTCAGTAACCAATAATAAATAAAATTCAATTGCTCCACCGGTAGAATTTTTTGGAATATCGAGTTTTTGAACTGGAATTTGTGGGTTCCTTAATAATGAATTTTAAAACCGTTAATTTTTAGTCTTCCTGTTTTTACATCAAAAGAAAATATGTGCAACGGTTCATCTATTTTATCTATTATCAACATTTTGACTACCACAGAAGTTGAATCTCAACCTAGAATTAATTTGGTTAGCGTACCCTCAAAATTCAAATGGTAATGAAAGAATATGATTTTGATGAAATTCTTGGTTTATTATGGTATCATATTTAACCGACTCATTAGTTAGTATATCCCTGATCTTCATAAGGTGATTATGTCATGTTTCACTTAATTTTTTATTACCTTATATTATATCTTCGATCAAGCACCTTTCACGACTAGTTTCTGGAAGGTGATCTTACTGTTATATGCCCTTTGTCTGTCTGCTTGCATATTTTGATTGTTTTCAAGGTTGACTGCACATCTTGTTTAGATGTGTGTGATACTCTTTGCCGCAAAATCATTTCTTCTGCGGTGATGAGCCTCTAACATGTAAGAAGAGCATTATTGAATTGTTCTTCAATGAAATGCACTTGTTACGCTTGGCTTCTGAGCATGTGCACTTTCTTTTTTTTCTTTTTTTGTTTTTTTTTTTGGAATGCTGCGTCCCAAGTCTTTTGCCACAAAATCATTTCTTCATAAGGTGATTATGTCATGTTTCACTTAATTTTTTATTACCTTATATTATATCTTCGATCAAGCACCTTTCACGACTAGTTTCTGGAAGGTGATCTTACTGTTATATGCCCTTTGTCTGTCTGCTTGCATATTTTGATTGTTTTCAAGGTTGACTGCACATCTTGTTTAGATGTGTTTGATACTCTTTGCCGCAAAATCATTTCTTCTGCGGTGATGAGCCTCTAACATGTAAGAAGAGCATTATTGAATTGTTCTTCAATGAAATGCACTTGTTACGCTTGGCTTCTGAGCATGTGCACTTTCTTTTTTTTTTCTTTTTTTCTTTTTTTTTGGAATGCTGCGTCCCAAGTCTTTTGCCGCAAAATCATTTCTTCTGCAGTGATGAGCCTCTAACATGTAAGAAGAGCATTATTGAATTGTTCTTCAATGAAATGCACTTGTTACGCTTGGCTTCTGAGCATGTGCACTTTCTTTTATTGTTTTGTTTTTTTTTGGAATGCCGCGTCCCAAGTCTTTTGCAGTTTAATTCACGATGCTTTTCTTTGTTTAGCCTTTTGTTGGTGGCCTTACTTGCTAAATCAGATAGTAATTCAAGGAAATACACGTCTCGTTTAGATGTATGATTTGCTGCAAGCTAATAATTTCTTCTGCAGTGATGAGTTTTTAACACGTAAGAAGAGCATTATTGAATGATTCTTCAATGCAATACACTTGTTACACTTGGCTTGTGAGCATGCGCTACTGTTCTTTTTTTTTTCCCCCAGATTGTTTGCAGGCCTTATGGTTTGACTTGCTTACTTTAGAAAATTTCTGTTACTGGTGTTCGTTTAGCCTTTTGTTTGTGGCATTTCTTGCAAGAGTCGAACTGTGTTTATCTTAGGCTCTAGAAAATATTGTCGTTTTTGGTACTTTCTCAACAGCCAGTGCTCTGAAAATTATTAAACTACTCATCATTTTCCCATTCGTCATCTAAAGATAATACTCTTTCTATTTTCTCTTTGCAGGTGGGTGACAACTACTACAGACCAGATTTAAAGAGGGCAGCTCTTGCAAGATTGAGTGTTGTTCACAGGAGCCTTAAGGTTGCCAAGTCCGGTGTCAAGAAGAGGAGCAGACAGGCTGTGAAGGTCTCTGCTAGGAAGTGAGCGGAGTAATAATAATGGGAGCTGTAGTGTTGTTTTGTTTTAGACGCCAAATTTTCGTCTTTAGATTTGAACATTGATGAGATGGTTTCTAATTTTGCTTATTGTCAACTTGGTTTTGTGCAAGTCTCAATGAATTATGGATTTGGATAGCAGTATTTATATTTGTTAACAGGAAATGTCTATCAAGTGTTTGTTGAGCAAAGATCTTTTGCGTTGTGGTTTCTGTTTTATTAGTTGATTAGTTGATAATTCATCCATTTTATGAGGATTTATCGTTGTGTACTCCCAACAATACAAGTTCATTAGCCGCCATTACAACTGCGACATGCGTGTGGTATGGTATACAGAAAATGAGAGGACAAAAGTCACAATTACAGACGAATGTTGAGTCGTCATGGAACTAGTAACAGAAAGGCAGAAGTTTCAAGGTATAGAACTCTCAGCTTAAGCAAGAATTTGTTCGACAAATAATGGGATTTTGAGAATTTTATCTAAACGGATGCCAAATTCTAGGACATTTGTTTGTCTCTCTCACTGTTGGTCAGTGTTGGTCTCGCAATAAGATCCACATGAAACTTAACTAATTAATAGTTAGGAAAGTAGAAACACATGCAAAATTATTCTTGTTTTTGTCCCATGGACTCTAAACAAAATGTTATATCCTTTCAACAAAACCCCTTGGAGTAGGGGTGCACAGGCGGGCGTTTTGGCGGTTTTCGGGCAGGTCGGCGTGGTTTTGCAAAAGGATTTGCCAGCCTACCTGCAAATGTTGAAGAATTATCAGTTCTTGAAGATTGAAGTAGACATTGTAGAAGAGGCTGTCAAATTTGCTTTGTAGCAGCTGGGCAAACACAGATTATAGGTATAGAGAGGGTCCTACTCTCTATTAGTTGTACTCAATACCAGTAATGCTCCAAGCATTTTTCATAGGTAATATATCGTCAAAACAAAAGCCACAAGATGGTGATCATAGATTTGTTAAATACTTGCAATAAAAAAATAAAAAAAATAAAAAAAATAAAAAAAAAAAACTCTGAAACAGAGAAGTTCCATAGTTTCAAACCACTCAAGGCTGCATACGCAGCATATTCGAGAGGAAGACGGGCCTAATATCAGAATTTTCGTACAAAGCCAAGTGATAACCCATTCCATTTTAACTCAAGTGATTACCATGTCTAGATTAATGTCAATACCAATCTTGTCTACCGAAACAAAGTGGTTTAAGAATTATGGGATGGATAGGACAGTTAAAAAATTGTGACAGCATGAAGTTTGTTGGATTATAGTCTTGCACCGGCTCGTACCGACTGGTGGTGGAAGATGGATAATCGTATCAATCACTGTTGTTTTTGCCAAATTTTGTTATGCTGCGTGTTTAGATGGACAAACAAACTTTGCAACTTTCAGGAAAGGCCGGTCCCGCCTGAATTCAACACCCCAATTTGCACTTCGATTTCACAGTGCGTTTACGAAATTCGAATTGCAAAAAGCTTGAAAGAGCGTGGATGAGAAAGACATGGATTATAATCATATGCTTGCTGGCCCCTCCACTGCACCATTGAAGGTTTGATCCCCGCCAAGAGAGAGAAACAAAAAAAAAAAAAAAAAAACTCACATGCTTTGCAGTTCGACAAATTTTAAAGGGATAGCATCCGATACTCACCCGAAAAAAAAAAAAAAAATGGCGAGTTAGCGTTGTGCGAAGGACAATTATGTCCGTCTTAGTGCAACTTTCCTTTAGGCAAGTGACATAAATATGGCTCTTAATACATGGACTACTAAAGCTTGTTTGGATAACAAAGCTTAATTACAAAGATTAACAAAGATAAACCAACAGCCATCAAGTTATTAACACTTCCTTAACCTCTCTCCAAAAGCACCCCCGATTGAGTTGGAGGGGTTGCGCACGCACAGTTCAATTTTAACCAGGGATTTAGAGGTAAATGGCCTATTTAAATGTCTTTTAAGGTACCGTAGTTTTCTAAAATTAATAAAATGGTCGTTAAATGGTCATTTTGCTGCCTTGTCCCGCCGTTGTAGATGCCAGACGGAAGAAAAAAGATTGGAGTCAAAGGCGAAGATAAAATCCAAGCGAAATATGCGACGAAGACGTAGACTGCGTTAAGAAAATCATGAAGGAAATAGGTAAAACTAGATCGGCGAAGTTCATCCGTCAGCAACAACCCAACAATGATGTGCTACTCCATGTAGCTTCTGCAGACCAGGCAAAGAGAAAAAAGAAGAGAGGAAGAAGGTGAATATTTTCATCCCAAGGTGTAAATTCGACCACCCAGCCGAATTTCTCTTTTAATAATAACAGCATTAACGGACTTCAAAAAAATTATTTTAATTTACTGAAAATGGAATTTGATCAAATCCTCATTTAGAGGGTAGATAGCTTTAAAGGGTTTATAACTTGAAGAAAAATAGTAGAAAATAGGCCAATATGAAAAACTTAATAAAGTATATAGGCTAATTTTTAATTATAAAAATTAATATGCCATAACTTGTCAAGTTATGGTTTATAACCAGATAAGTTATAGATAAACTTATCAAGTTATGATTCATATCTAGACAAGTTATGGATAATTATGAACAATAACTTATCAAGTTATGATTCATAACTAAACAAGTTATGAACGAAAATAATAATCTGACCTATTTATTAACTTATGTAAACTATTGACCAATTAATTTTAATTCATCTCAAGTCTTGACCTATTTCCCTCTTTCTCCCTAACTTGAATTCCATTGTTCCTTGTTTTTTGGGTTTGGAAAATGTACATACATTGCAGTAATTTTGTGCATTATCTTATATCATTCTAAGTAACTTGCCTCTCATTTTCTCTCTATTAATTGAATAGTCATTATTTATTTATAAGTGGAACAACATAAATATTATTTTTGACCACCTCGAGTGGCATTCTGGTTTATTCCAAATTGCGTTCATCAATTTAACTAGCAACAACTAACGACAATTCTAGCACAAAACATGAGCAGCAGAAGGAAACAATCAATTAGCTCCCTTAGCAAGCACGAGTGATTCCACCAACTAATCCCAAATCAAGTTTAGAAGGTCAGTTTGTTCCCTTGACTCGAGAGGTGGGATTGATCCGTTAATTTATCCAAATCAGTTTTCTCGAAGGGATCTTAAAATAAGTTTCAGTCTTCACATGGTAATACCAATACCCTTTTCTTCACATACAATACACATTTCTTAATCAGTATGTATGCGTGTACATGCATAAAGGTGGGTCAAACAAACCAACATTACTTAACGTAGGTTTATGATATTGCCAAAGGATGCTAAAAGTATATTAAGTGAAACAATAGTAAATTAAAATCCAAGTCGTTCATAAAATGGGATACGGTACATCCTAAAAGATAAAATTTGGAGTCACCATAGAACAATCAAGGACCATAAAAGCAGCTTCCAATATCAAAATGTTTAGCCTTTCAAACATTGGCAGCTCACTTCGCTAGTGCTATTTCTCACTTCCCAACCGAAAAAAAAAAAAAAGAAATGAAAAAAGCAAAAAGGACCGACCAAAATCTAAGACCTGATGCAGATCACGGGATACTCAATGTTCACTAGGCATGCTCTTGATGATATCGGAGTCACCTGAAAAACATAACACCCAACAATCAGGATCCCAAATAAGGGGAAAACACAAAAAAGAAACATTGGCTTGCTTAAGAGCAAAAGTGTCGTTGACAATGAGTACCTGGATCAATAATGCTAAGGCAGCATACTCTGTAGTATTTCCCACATGCTGTTCCCAAGTCTACATTGTCTGGCACAATGAAAACGAATTTTAAGCATTAATTCCAAGAGAGTCAAGTGCATCAGATTACAAGACAACACAAGTTCTCAACGCGACAAAGCAGCAATAAGACAAGACACACGAGATTAATATTTAAAAAAAAAAAAATTGCTACACTCAACACGCACACACAAATACGTTAGAAAGCAGAAGACCCTCTCATTAATTAGTTTATTCAGATTCTAACTAAGTTTTGAGCAAAATAAATAAGACAAAAGAACCTCCTCTTTCCTGGAAATAAGACAGAAGAACTTATTCTCCGGTCAAGGTAAGACACAAAGTTAAGACACAAGCAACCGTAAGCTTTTTGTTATTAATTAACCTAAACACAAACCATCACTCATGACTCGCTAGCATTGCCAGGAAGGTTTCCATCATAACATACGCTGTGATTGATGAAAACTTACAAAACATTTGAGACAAAAATTGAATAAATAGGCCCAATAACTAAATTCATGCACTTAATAAACCATATCGATTAAAATGTACTCCAGAAGATGTAGAACTCAAGTGACAAAATGAAAATGTGATATCATATGAGACTATAGTTAGAAACTTACTGCCGTTGTAATGATGAACTCCAACCTTCGCCAACATGGCGTAGTATTCAATCTCTGACTTCCTCAGAGGAGGGCAGTTGTTGGCAATGATGATCAGCTTCCCTGTAAGTGTTAAATGAAAATGGATTGTGATTGTGATATCATAAAGAACTCAAAAGAAAAGGGAAATGTACATGCATAAACATTGCAGAGAAAACTAGAACCTCGAATATAGATAAAAACTCTTCTTTATATCTACGAATGAAGCATCAAACGCCTCTTGATAAAACATCAATGTTATATGCCTCAACTCATAATTTTCCAAAATGATTATTCATACAAGGTAAAAAGAAATGACTGAAAGCTCAATCTTGCATAAAACACAAGGACAAAAAAATAGTTCTTCAATAATTAGGTTCATCAGTCAACAAAAATAAAAGTTAGGTTCATAATCAAGCATCATTCACCAAAAAAAAAAGCCTCCATTCAGATACCAAAAATATAGAAAATTTTCTTATCCAAAGAAAAACTAGCTCTAAAACTAATACCCCGCAATACAGGAAAGAAATGATATATCCATTAATGAAAAGGAATAAATTCAAGGTATACCTTTGGAGTTCCTGAGGGACTTGAGGACCGTTTTGTAGCCCAAGGTGTACTTGCCACTCTTCATCACGAGAGCAAGCCTGTTGTTGATGCTCTCATGAGTCTTCTTCTGCGCAAACACAGAAAAATGAAAATCGCGAAAATCAGCAATCCATTTGGAACTAGAAAACTAGAAGAGACAAAATTACATATTTTCCAAATCAATCGTCGATCAAGTTTGACGACGGATCTCAACGAAATGTTTGGGGAAAACACACAGATTCGAATCGAAAACTGATTCAAAATGTTCAAATAAAAACGATAGGAAAAATGGATCGAGAGAGAGAGAGAAATACAGTCTTCTTGGCGGCCACCATTGTTGGTTGCTTCGATGAGGAAGGAGAAGTTTCTGTGGAGCGGCGAAGAGTTGAGCGCAGAAACCACAGAGAAGGGGAGGACTTTGATCCTTTTATATGGGATTGCGCTGGGAGATTAGGGTTTTGAGGGTGTTGGGCTTCCGTTTGGTTTCTTTGATAGTATAGCCCATGGCGATGATAAAATTAAACTGGTTCTGGTTTAATTGCATTGGGGCTTAATTACAAATTTCTGCCTCAACTTTGATGTTGGAATAATGCCTAGACACAAACTCAAATTCTAACTTTTATGTATTAATTATATAGTGTGTAAGTTGTCAAATTTTTATTAATAAATATAATTTCATATTATTAATTGATGTATTAAACACTTATTAATGTAAAAATGATAATTCACATGTCACATTAGTTTGTACACAAAAGTTGAGATTTAAGTTGGTGTGCCTAGTATTATTCTTGATGTTATTGTCACTTTAATACTTTTGAATTTTGTTTTTATTTATCGGGAAAGATTCTAGCGCGGCCACGTTGTTTAACCGGACCTAACTTTTTTAAACATTGGTTAAATTTAGGCTTTTTAAAACAGACATCTCTTGACTTTTCAAAATTTCGTAATTGATCTCTGTTCTTTATTTTTTCTTAGTCCTTAATTGTAAAGATTTTTAAATTGACAGGAGAAAAAAGAGTAGAAATCAAATTGTCAAATTTAAAAAGTTGAACGGATATCCGTACAAAAGAACATTAAATTTAGGGTTCCCTTATGACAAAAGGAACTATTTTATATTATCAGTAAAGTGTATTATTAAAAGTCTTTAGATTGAAATTACACAATCAAAAAGATGTTACTTTAGTATTATTTTTTCAACTCTCCACATGAAATTATCATTGTTTTTTAAATGATGAGATTGCAATTTTTTCAACATTCAAAATCAAAACTTCTTCTTACCTAAGACAACTTGTTTTTTAAAAACTTCTTCTTCCCCAAATTTGTTCATTATATATCTATATATAAGAAAGCACAATGTACTTTCACCGTTTCACCACTTTTTAATCAAAACACTGCCGTTTTGGTGCCCTGTTTTTTTTACCTCTTTTTTATTATTTTTAAGTCCTTCTTTGTCTTTTTGTTCTTATTTTTTATTGTCTTTGCCCTAAAACTTATTCATTTTCCATCTCGGTCCTTTTTTGATATATTTTTTTATTTTTTTTGAGACTATTTCTTTTATATTTTGATTCTTTTTGTTCTAAAACTTATTTATTTTTTCATTCAGATCCTTTTTTGACCTTTTTTTTTTACTTTTTCTTTTTCAATTTGGTCAAAAATGCGTGAACAATAACATTACATGCATAGCTTTTCCTTTTTTTTTTTTTTTGCTCTTCATAGTTCATTTTCCCCTTTTCATCTCCTCTTTTTCTAGAAAATTTAATATTTTCCTACTTAAATATTTCTTTCCGATGGTACTCCAAAATTTATTTATTCTTTCTTTTTAGCCCTTTTTTACACTTTTTTTTATTTTTATCCTGAAATTTTATTTTCATTTCGTTATGGTTCTTTTTACCCTAAAACTTATTTATCTCTTCATTTTAATCCTTTTTTTACTCTTTTTTTTATTTTCTTATTATTTCTTCATTTTAGTCCCTTTTTATCTTCTTTTTTTTTTTGGCTACTTCCCCTAAAACTTTATTTTTTAAAAAAATTTAGTTTCTTTTTGGAATTTTGTATTCACATGTTTTATATTTTTATTTATAACACGATAATTAAAACTTGGATTGTTTGGTTGGGGGATTCGTCTCCTGATTCGAATCATGGTTCGTGGTTCGCTATAGTATTTTCTCTCACAAAAAACACACGTAAATTGAAAATAATTCTAATTACATAGTTCTAATCTATGAACAAAACGTATGTATGATTACTCCCCACGTGTGTATCTCTTCATTTTGGTCCATTTTTTACTCTTTTTTTATTTTCTAATTATTTTTTCATTTTAGTCCTTTTTTATCTTTTCTTTTTCTACTTCCTCTATAACTTTTTTTTTTTATATAAATTTTAGTTTCTTTTTGAGATTTTGTATGCATTTGTTCTGTACTTTTAATAGTAACTGGTAATTAAAACGTACACACAATTATTTTCCATATGGATAGCACACGTGCTTCAACTAGTATCCCAATAAATTAAAATCCTCCATATTCTAATAAAAACACATTACGCATTCAATAAAACACAATCTTCAACCCCTCGAAAAAAGCCTACAATTACAAAAGAGCCCATCTTGGCTTTGAAATGGTGGATTTCGAGAATTGCGTGGATGTGTCGGTATTTCTCAGACTTCTATTTCATGTTGTAAGTATTTCTGACCGTTCTCTATTTTTTTTTTAAGTTTTGTTTATTTTATTAATTTAAATTTAAAATTTGAGTTTTATTAAATAAAAATTTTTATATAAAATTATATATTAATTTAAATTAAAAATTAAAATCAATAAATTAAAAGAGCCTTTACTATCTTTTTAAATTTTTCGTCACCTGTGTAGAAACTTTTTGGCATTTGTGGTTTTTATTTTTAATTTTTTCTGTCGACAACTGTCCTAACCGTTCAAATGCAATTAATGCCTCATCATTCAAGACCTGATAACTAGTACCGCTTAGAGGACGTTTGGTTGGAGGATTTAAACTATGTGATTCAAATTATTTTCAATTTACGTGTATTTTTTGTGAGAAAAAATACTTTAGTGAATCACGAATCATGATTCGAATTAGGGAACGAATCCCTCTACTAAACATCCTCTTATTCGATCCGCTCTCACACTGTCAAACTTCATAATCGATTCGAGAGTGAAAATAAAAAACAAAACAAAAGAGCAAGAACAAAAAAAAAAAACAAAAAAACAAAAACAAAAACACAAAAGCACAAGATAAATAAATAAATAAATAAACAAATAAATAAAATGGCAAGTTCTTCTTCGACTCGATGCTTTGAAAAGGTTTGTGGAACTGATAATGTTTAGAGAAGCAACCATTAGAGTGGGATAAATCCTAGCTGAGCGGAGATTCAGTTAGCTATGGAGGAGGCAACCTTGAGTTAATGGGAGCAGTCGTAACGACAACACATGCTGGGGTTAGCTGAGTCCCTGGCATCATTTCTAAAGTCTTCACGAAGAACAACATATGTGGACCAACTATTGGTGATCAGATACCGATTTAGAACATAGCTGAGTGAATTGCAACCACGCTCCATTTCTCTGAAGCCATTCATTGCCCTACCAGGAATTCTTGGTACTTTTGAAGAAATATTTTGTATAGCTTCTAGGGCGTCAATGCTTGTGCATAGGAAACCCATAAGTCTACTTAATGTAAACGGTTATTTTGACGGTTTGTTGTCCTTTTTAAATAATGTTGTGGAAAAATGATTCAAGTTTTGAGCGGCGAGGAGAATCTTCAGGCTTGTTCTTTTGAGTGAAAAACTCAAAAAAAGACAACTCGAGTTACAATTTTATTGGAGTTCATGTTTTTTTAAGTTTAAACTCGAGTTTAAACTCGAGTTCAAGTTTTCCCTTCAACTCGAGTTCAGAAACTCGAACTCAAATTAATGAACAATATTTTTTCTATTATTAGAAATGTTATAACTTTTTTGTTTTAATTCTGATTGAGATGATTTTTTTTTATGTGTTGACAACGAAAAGACGAATAAAACCCGACCTATATACCCTATTAAAATTTGAGTTGTGCCGGAACGAATGATTTGAGTTGTGTCCCAGCTAGCATTTTTAGTCCTATCAATTGGGTAGCTTGGGGAGAAAACGGTGCCCATATTTCTCTTTTAATTTATACTTTATTACTTACTGTGTTAATTCTCATGATCATTCCTAGTGTACTTCTGGGCTCATGTCTTCAGGGTCAAATGCTGGTGCCTAATTTGCTGCTTTATATTACAAATTACAACACTAAATTCGACGTGCGTAAAAGTGAACTAGCTAGCTAGCTAGGCAATATATGTCAACCCAAACACAACACACCTTTTGTCATAAAACAACAATCCAAACAAGATCCGTTTATTAAACGTGTCAAAAATGTCAACCTAAACACAACACATTTATTAATTGTGTCAACCCGCATAACCCGTTTAAATTAATATATTGAATAAATAACTAATACAATAATGACTTATTTAGTATAATCATGACAGGTTTAACATGTTTATTGATCAATTTATCTTTTCCTTTAATAAAAATAAATGAATTTTACCTACAAATATTAAAATTCATATTTTGTGTATTTAATATGTCATATAAATTTTCATGTTATATCACATATCATTAGATTGTAGATGACACATATAATTAATCGTGTCACTTTGTATTAGGAGGTCAACCCTAACCCAACCCATTTATTAATAGTGTTAATCGTGTCAATCCGCTTATGATCCAAACTCATTTATATTAAACTCAAATCCGTTAATTTTGTATGAATTTTGAGTTGTAGAGTCACGTCGTCGTGTCACTAACCGGATTGCGAACCCTAATTCTCATATTCCTAACATCATTGTCGGAAATTCTTCTGCGGGTAAGCATAAAAGTTCCTAGAAGGGAGAAGCAAGCTTGTAAGAAAGGAAAATCCATCTTGTGAACCATGGTTCGAAAGAATTTTTTCTTGCTACGCTGCCTTGATTGTTCAAATTAAGATAAGAATATATGCGAACGTAGCTTAAACATTCTCTATAGTTTCTTTTTAACTAGTTTAAATAATTATTTATGTCACACACACATATATCATTCTTTATATCTATGGCAGCAAAGAATTTATTTCTTCATATGCACATGTTTCTAAAGAATTTTTTCTTTTTTTTTTCCTTAGAGTTCATATTAGGAAAAAAAAATATATGCCTTTTTTTTTTTCACTTTCCTTTTTCTCTTTAAATCATAAAAACAAATACTCCCATCATTCTTACAGCTTATTTGCCGCCTTTCGACAATTACAGTTTCAAAATTTTATATGCCTTGTAGAGGGATTCGTTCCCTGATTCGAATCATGATTCGTGGTTCGCTACAGTATTTTCTCTCACAAAAAATACACGTAAATAAAAAAT